TTATAAGAACATAAGGACAAGACTGGAGGAAACTGCAGCGGGCCTATTGGCCCATTATGGCAGCCCCGTTTACACCCAACCCCTATCGGTCTATGATACACTACAGAAAAAGAACACCACCAACACTGTGCAGCAGCTATGGAAATATTACAGTCAAACTGAAGACATTCAGATGTCAGTACTAGATGTGGAAACTCAAGACCCACCAAGAGCTAGTGTCCACGCAAAGGAAAATAGCGATACTGGTAACAGTTCTACTAATGCCTCTGTGGACATGGTCACTGAATATGAACAAACACAAACAGAAAATGGTTGTGATGTCGAGTGAAACCAAAGTGTGTTGTTGTCTGCCACTGAAATACAACAACTGTTGAGCAGTACATGCTCCAGAAATGTTTCAAAAAGGTTAAAAAGCCGCCTGCCTGCTGAAGGGACAGGCAGCGTAGGAGAAAAAAAACAGTATCATACAGTGCCTTTTGCTTCTTTCCAAATATAGTTCATAATGGCCAGTGTTAATACCAGACAAAGATATAGAGCGGTGAAGGTGATGAGTTGGAACATCTCATCTCTCAGAAAACGATACCCTGACCTACACCACAAAGTTGTGACTGAGGACATTGATATTGTGTGTCTGCAGGAGTGTCTCACACCTAATGGTAAGCCCCCACCCAGTCTGCCCAATTATGTGTATCATGATCCTAGTTCTACTCACACATGTTTGATGTATGTTAAGAGTCACTACCGCATGTACCTCTTGTATCCAAAAAGACTACCAACCTTCAGTACCATGGGATCACTATCCACCTGGGCAACTCCACACTCAACGTGCTATACGCCTATGCTCCCTCAGATCAGCTTCAGTACACAGATCTCCCAGACTTTTTACACACTGAGCCCGCTGTGACCTGACTAGACACAAGAAATTAGGTGACCCCACCACTAACACCATTGGTAGGAGACTTATCTCACTTCTCAGCGCATATGAAGATGTTCAAATTACTGGTAATAATGAACCAACACACATCTATGGCGGGGCTCTAGACAAGTGAATTGGTTTTAATCTATCATACACAACTCATAGCTCTGATGTTGTCACTGATCTTATATCTAACCACAGCCCAATCCAAGCTAGTATACTGTACATGTAGCCAGTGACACCCCCACTGGTGGTAAACTCAACAGACGTAGAATCACAGTCAAGCAAGAACATGAAAGATAGTTCATAGACTTCATCCATGACTGGTACAAGGACTACAAGCCTGACAACTACCAAAGTTTCCATGGTGATCTGATAGATAGGACTTATACATACTTCACCAACAATGCCGCCACCAAAAAAAAAAAAAAGGAGAAAACGTGGTCAGCATCTTGGGAACAGTCAACAACAGTGCTACGATGACCCTAAACTGAAAAAAAAAACTCAGGGCTAGAGTCAGGAGGGTGGGTAAGGGTTACAAACAAGTTAGAACATCTCAAATGTTACAATTGTATCAAGCCTCCCTTGCTGCTGCCAGGGAACGTGTAAACGAACTAAGACAAAATGCATTGGAGACATATGTCAACAGCCTGAATCAATACACATCCCTCAGCAAAGCCTGGAAAGACGTAAACACAATCAGAGGTAAAAACAGTAGACACGTCTCCCATCCAAACCCTCTGCAAAAGTTGAATGAGCTAATAACAAAGTGGGCTCATGTGTCTAGGCTATGACATGTTACCAACTAGGACTCGGGGACTCCTTGATGCGAAGTCTGTAGAGAGAAGTAATCTTATTAACTTTATGCTGGGCAAACAGCACGATGAGTGTGATGTTTCATATACTGAGTGGGAGCTTGACGCCGCCCTCTCCAGGGGTAGGTCTACTTCCCCTGAAGAGGACGGAGTCACCTACAACACCGTTAGACTACTAAGGCGTGTGCCGAGCAATCCATTATTGGTATTGTACAATATGAGTCATGCCGAGGACCAACTACCCACATCATGGACCAGCAGTATTGTTGTACCAATACTGAAACCAGGACAGCCTGATGCTTTCGTCCCATATCACTAACTAGCTGCCTGCGTAAAACCTTTGAGAGGATGGTGTTTGACAGACTCTTATATAGAATCAGAGAACACATGTCACCTAACATAAATGGCTTCACCCATGGTAAAGGTGTACATAATTGCATGACCACATTCCTAACTGTGCATGGTGATGAAAGGCACAGATACACCACATTTCTTGACCTAAAAGCTGCATTTGATATTGCCAATAGGCAACTGATATTGTACGAACTAGCCAAATTGGATATAGGAGGTACGCTGTTACACTGGATAAGTGGTTACCTAACCAACAGAAGGGCTGCTGCACTGTTTCAGGGTTACAAAAGTGAAGTTAAAGATAAGCAACTTGGTACCCCTCAAGGTGGAGTACTTAGCCCCACTTTGTTCAATGTTCTAATGAATGCATTATTAAATTTAATATCAGACAACCTCAGCAATATCACAATCAGCTATGCTGATGATATTCTTATACATACTAAAATTCATCGTGAAATGCAAACCACTCTGAACCATGTATACGCAGCCTCTGAGAACCTCGGTCTTATTATCTCCACTGAGAAAACTAAGGTGTTCAAAAAACAAGCAGGTAACCGCAAACGCGGCCCCGCCAAATTCAAGATAGGTAACAACACTATTGACTATGTTTCTTCTTTTAAATATCTTGGTGTCTCCGTCCCTTGTACCCTACCTGCCATACAACATCTAACCCGACAATGTACTAACGGACTGAAACCTCTTAGAAGTGTAGCGGGGTACAGCCCACATTATGGTGCTAATATTAGAATTGTTAAGACAATTTACCTAGGCCATATAAGATCTCTGATAGATTACCACGCACCAGCCCTGGTCCTTCGTGACGGGAAAGGCGTTGACAAACTCGAGAAAATGCAAAATAAAGCCCACAGAATTATCCTAGGATGTCCCATGAGCACTAAAGTATTTAATATGAAGAAAGAACTAGGTATACCAAGTGCCAAAGATAAAATAATTGAAGTCAACCTCATGATAGCCATGAGGCTTCTGCGTGGTGATCCTGATAACAGTGTTTCCTTAAAATTGCCAGAATGTATGAACCATGGACTGGTGAGTCTAAATGGATCCAAACTACAGCTACACATATGAAGATGTTTGGACTAGACCATCTGTACAAAGTTGAGACACAACAGCGCTTCCTGCCACCCTGGCGGACAGTTCCCTTCGATATCACAATACCGACATATCCGCCTAAAGATTAATTATACAAAGTATTTATCTACAACTCACTGCCAAAGTGAGAGCTCTTGAACACATACACACTCTACAGACTGATGATAATATCACACAGACCATCTACACTGATGGATCTCTTAACACCGCCTGTGGGAGGGCTGGAAGTGCTATTGTTGTGACTCAACCTGACGGTAATATAATTGAGAAAGTAGTTAGAATTAACAATTAGGCATCCACTCTACGAACTGAATTAGTTGCCATACTCACAGCTATTAAATTCATTGAAACCACTGTCACTGACAGTCTCATCATCACTGACTCTCTATCCTCACTAATTGCCCTTGACACCCTCAACTCAAGTTGTCACGCGCTTGTCTCTGAAGCCAGACACAAATATGCGTACCTTGTTGACCGGGGTGTCAAGGTCAAACTGTTGTAGATCCCCTCTCACATATAGTCCTCAAAGAACATGACAGAGTTGATGCCCTCGCCAAACTTGCGTCTAACAAAGACACTGTTGAATACAATTTGGATCTGTCAAAAAGAACCTTAAAACTGTAATTAGGAAAGAACGTATTGATGAATATGACGCAAGTAGACAAGTGCAAAAAGGCACTAGTCGATCCATAGTTTACCACGATGAGATGTATCAAGTGAAACATGTATATGGAGCAAGTAACAAGATCACTAGATTACAAGATGCTGTAACCGCTATAATTAAGGTTAGGATATAAGTACCTCTGGCAGTATGTTCCTCATGCCGATGTTAACAAGACTAAATGTAAAGTGTGTGGCCGACATATAGCCACACACTTGAACACTACGTCCTCGACTGTGTGAAGATAGAACCTTTAGGGACAGGTCCAAGGACACTGTGTGTGAAATGGCACAACACTTCATCTCTAATGGCAAGATAGCCGACATATTAAGATTGTATCCACTTTTTTGCACTTAGTAACTATATCAGTTCTCATATATAGAACCAAATACACAATGTGCATGAATACTTCTTACGCAAATGTGAATAACAAAGCGTGCGGTCAGACATACTGCCTCACACGCCTGTACACACGCATTTGTGAAAAAGTTACCCTTTATGTATAGAACTAAACAAATAATGTAATTGAAATACTGTGTAACATTCAGTGCCATAATATCCTGACCACTGGGGTTAATTATTATGACCCGTTGTAAACTCTACTCCGTAATCCTTTTGCGCTACCGCTCACAGGATGAGTGTGGGGTGCACAATAAAGTAGCCGCTGTAAGCGGCAAAATGAAAAAAAAAATCCATCATATATCCGTTCAACCTATATTTGAAGCTACCCAGTTTGTTCGAGTTAAATATGAAGTTAGGTAACCTGTTCTACTCATCCATTACTCTATTTTTAAACAAGTGTTTACCTATCTCGTGCCTAAATCTAAATTTGTCTAATTTAAAACCATTGCTGCGAGTTCGTTCCTTTCAATCTGCAAGGGTTTACTAGTAATCATATACCCTTAAAACGGTTTGCAATTAGGGACAATCATAAAAACTTTCTAAGCCCTTTGTATGCCTTTTTTTTTTTGCAGTGCGCATGATGCCCATGACAAGACAGAACTCTTCCATATCCTTGCAGACAGAATTGGTGAAATGCACACAGCAAATATGATCATCTTAACTATGGACAAAACTTATATTTATGAACATATAAGAACATGGAGTGAACATATAATAGTCTCAGGAACAAAACAAGAATTCTTACCTCCCCACAGTGCTCGATGCCACCCTGATTGTTGGGTTCCCCAGGATACCAGTTGGTGAAGCCCACAGGAGTGCCATCCACCCAGTGCCAGTTATGTCCATTATTGTCATCGTGTAGACCAAGCCATATATTTTTCGACTGGGCAGTAAGTACCTCTGTTGTATCCACACGAAACATTTATTAAGACTCAGTAATATAATTATCATTCTTAATACCTCATTACTCAACTACACTTGTGTATGGCCCATTACTACTACACAAGTTGCATAAAACCAAAACTCCCTACACATGATTTCATAACCTAATACAGCACTTAACCGAAGTCAAGATGAGTTACGTTAGGTTAGGTCATTCTGCCTGGTTCGTTAAATTGGCTCACAACCTAACTTTGGTTAGGTTAAATAGAGTTAGGTTAGATTAGGTAGGGCTGGGTTAAGTTAGGTTAGGTCAAGGTAGTTTAAATTATTAAGATAGGTTAGGTTAGCAGTCTATTTCACGAAATGAGCAATTTCTTCACAAACAGGGGAAGCAATATATATATATATATATATATATATATATATATATATATATATATATATATATATATATATATGATTGGTAGGAGGGAAACACAAGGTTGGGCTTTCTGTATAACCCTAACATTTCAGGCTACACTGAGCCCATCTACAGAGAGAATACATACTGATGTTGTTGATGATGATGATGATAGTGATGATGATGATGATGATGATGATGATGATGATGATGATGATGATGATGATGGCGATGATGATGATGATGATGAAATATATTGGCAAATGGCTTTGCCAGGAGAGAGGAGAGGAAAGGGAAAAGGAAAGAATAAAAACGGGAAGTAAATTAGTAAGGAGTAATAGCAGGTGGGTTGTCCACCTATCTGAGCTAAGGTGTTACAACAAGAGCACCTCACCTCTCTGGACTACCTTACTGCATGACGTGAATGCTTGGTCAGCGGCAATCTTAAACTAAAACATATAACCCCGTCAAGAGTTCCTAGAGGAGGAATTTGCATATACGATTATGATCAGTTCATTCAAGAAACTGTGTTCCCTTCAGAGACTGCTGATAAAACTTAAGAATCAGGTACTAAGCACAGTGAGGAGGAATGGGGAGAATAATGTATGTATCTGTTACCAACTCAAATAAAGGTTCAGTCCTTAGAAAATACTTGCAAATGACTGGACTGAAAATAGCGAATACATCTGGGAGAAAAATTGGAGAAATTGTAAATTAAGAGCAGCAAAGATATGTAAAGGAGGATAGTGCCATATACAGCATACCCTGTAATTGATGCACAAAGATGTGTATAGGTGACACTGGACGGGGCTTGATGAAAAGATTGTCAGACCACAAAACATGTATTAGCCCCTGTCAAACATACAGTCATATTTATATAAATGTGAGCTACATACATTATGTTTATAAAATTCAATCACCCACGGTCAGTGGCGGACTAGGTCAAAAATTTCTAATATCACACACCTCCCAGCCACATCCTACATCACACACCCCCATTCACCTCCTACATCACACACCACCTCCTACATCGCACACTCCCCAGCCACCTCCTACATCACACACCTCCAGCCACCTCCTACATCACACACCCAGCCACCTCATAAATCACCAGCCACCTCCTACATCACACACCAGCCACTCACATCACCCAAACCCAGTCACCTCCTACATCACACACAGCCACATCACTTATCACACTCCCATCACCTCCTGTATCACACAGCCACCTCCACACACTCCAGCCAACTCCCATAGGAGGTGGCTGGAGGTGGCTGAGGTAACTGGAATTGTGTGGGCAATGACAGGTGGCTAAAGTGTGATACAAGAGTAAAGTGGTGTGATGATGTACGAAGTGGCTGAAGGAGGTGGCACAGGAAGTGGCTGTTTACAGGAGGTGGGTGAGGGTGTGGTAACTAGAGGCTCTGGAGAGAGGTGGCTGGGGGGTGTGATGCAGAAGTGACTGGGGGTGTATTGTGACTGGGGGTGGTGGTGGGTGATGTAGGAGGTGGCTGGAGGTGTGTGATGTTAGGAGGTGGCCAGGGGTGTATAATACAGGATGTGGCTGGGGGTGTATGTGAGGAGGTGGCTGGGGTGTGTGATACAGGAGGTGGATGGGGTGTGTGTTACAGGAGGTGGCTGGGGTGTGGGTGCAGGAGGTGGCTGGGGATGTGTGCCTGGGGAGGTGGCTAGGGTGGTGATGTAGGGTGGCTGGGGTGTGTAATACAGGAGGTGGCTGGGGGTGCGTGACACATGGGAGTGTTGGGGTGTGTGTAGGAGGTGGCTGGGGATGTGTGGGAGGTGGATGGGAGTGTGTGATACAGGAGGTGGATGCGGTGTGTGTTACAGGAGGTAGCTGGGGATGTGTCACACAGGAGGTGGCTGGGGTGGGGTGATGTAGGAGGTGGCTGGGGGTGTGGATACAGGAGGTGGCTGGGGTGCATGACACATGAGGTGGTTGGGGGTGTGTGACGAAGGAGGTAGCTGGGGTATGTGATACTGGAGGGGCTGGGGGTGTGTGATACAGCAGGTGGGTGGGGTGTGTGATGCTAGGTGGCTGGAGAGATAGAGGAGGTGGCTGGGGGTGGTGCAGGAAGTGGCTGGGGGTGAGGTGGGTGTAGGAGGTGGCTGGGAGGGTGTGATGAGGAGGTGGCTGGGGTGTGGATCAGGAGGTGGCTGGGGTGTGTATCGGAAGTGGCTGGGTGTGTGGTAGGAGGTGGATGGAGTGTATTTACAGGAGGTGGCAGGAGGTGTGCTGAGAGAGTAGCTGGGGGTGTGATACGGTAGCTGGGGGTGGGAGGTGATAGCAGGAGGTGGCTAGGGTGTGTGTGATACAGGAGGCGGGGTGTGTATCAGGAGGTGGATGGGAGTGTGTGTTACAGGAGGTGGCTAGGAGTGTGTATGCTGAAAGTATAGGGTTATGTAAGTACAAAGTGGCTGGGGTGGGAGTGCAAAGGGCTGAGGTGTGTGATACAGGAGGCTGCTGAGGTGCGTGATTACAGGAGGTGGGTGGGGTGTGTGATGCTAGAGGTGGCTGGGGTGTATGAAAAAGGCGGTGGGCAGGGGAGGTGGCGTGCGGCTGGGGTGTGTGATACAGAAGGTGGTTGGGGGTGGGTGATGTAGGAGGTGGCTGGAGGTGTGTGATGTAGAGGTGGCCTGGGGTGTGTACAGGAGGTGGCTGGGGTGTGTGTGTAGGAGGTGGCTGGGGTGTGGTACAGGAGGTGGATGGGAGGTGTGTTGTTGGGAGGTGGCTAGGGGTGTGTGATACAGGAGGTGGCTGGGGGGTGTGTGATGAAGGAGGTAGCTGGGGATGTGTGATGCAGGAGGTGGCTGTGTGTAGTGTATTACAGGAGGTGGCTGGGGTGTGTGATACGGATAAGGCTGGGAGGTGTGGCACAGGAGGTGTGTGATACAGGATGTGGCATAGGGGTGGTGATGAAGGTGGCTGGGGAGATATTATGACAGGAGGTAGCTGGGGGTGTGTGACAGGAGGTGGTGGGGTGTGTGATGTGGGAGGTAGCTAGGGTATGTGATACTGGAGGTAGCTGGGGTGTGTGATAGAGAGGTGGCTGGGGTGTGTGCCTGGGAGGTGGCTGGGAGTGTGTGATACAGGAGGTGGCTGGGGTGTGTGATACAGGAGGTGGCTGGGGTGTGTGATACAGAAGGTGGCGGGGGTGGGTGATAGGAGGTGGCAGGAGGTGTGTGATGTAGAGATGTGGCTGAATGGAGGTGGCTGGGGTATGTAGGAGTGGCTGGGGTGTGTTACAGGAAGTGGCTGGGGTGTGGCGTGGAAGAGCTAGGGTGGGTGTACAGGAGGTGGCTGGGGTGTGTGATACAGGAGGTAGCTACGGGTGTGTGATGTGGGAGGTGGCAGGGGTGGGGTGATGTGGGAGGTGGCTGGGGGTGTGTGCAGGAGGTGCCGGGGGTGTGTGGCCGAGGTGATTGGTGGTGGCGTGATGTAAGGTGGCTGGGGAGTATTATGTCGGAGGTGGTGGGGTGTGTTATAGGAGGTGGCTGGAGGTGGGTGTAGGAGGTGGCTGGAGGTGTGTGATGTAGGGTGGCTGGGGTGGAAGTGGCAGAGGAGGTGGCAGGGATGGGGTGATGTAGGGATGGCTGGGGGTGGTGTGATGTAAGTTGGCTGGGGTGTGTTATGTAAGGTGGCTGGGGGTGTGTGATGTAGGAGGTGGCTGGGGGTGAGTGGTGGCAGGGAGGTAGCTATGGTGTGTGACAGAAAGGTGGCTGGGGTGTGTGCAGGAGGTGGCCAGGGGTGTGGTGATGTAGAGGTGGCTGGGGGTGTGTGATACAAAGGTGTAGGAGTGTGATGTAGGAGGTGGCTGGGGTGTGTGTATAGGAGGTGGCTGGAGGAGTGTGTGTGATGTAGGAGGTGTGGCTGGGGGTTGTGTGTCCGGGATGTGGCTGGGGTGTGTAATGTAGGAGGTGGCTGGGGGTGTGTGATACAGGGAGGTGGCTGGGGGCATATGCAGGAGGTGGCTGGGGGGTGTGGTGACATGGAGGTAGCTGAGGGGATGTAGTGGGAAGGTGCTGGGGTGTGATTACAGAAGGTGGCTGGGGTGTGTGATACAGGAGGTGGCTGGGGTGTGTGATGTAGGAGTGGCTGGGGTGAATGTGTGCAGGAGGTAGCTGAGGGATGGTGGTACAGGAATGGCTGAGGGATGGGGTCAGGTGGGGTTGCTGGGGGTGGGGGTGATGTAGGGAGTTGGCAGGTGTGTGATGTGAGTAGGTGGTTGGGGTGGTGTGATGCAGGAGGTGCTGGGTGAGGATGGGGTGATGTAGGGGTGGCTGGGGGGTGGGGTGATGTAGGAGTTGGCTGGGGTGTGTGATACAGATGGTAGCTGGGGTGTGTACATGAGGTGGCCAGGTGTGTGATGTAGGTGGCTGGGGGTGATGTAGGAGGTGGCTGGGGTGGGGTGTGATGTAGGAGGTGGCTGGGGTGTGTGATACAGGATGTGGCTAGGGTGTGTGATACAGAGAGTGGCTGGGAGTGTGTGTCATGAGGTGGCTGGGGTGTGTGGTGTAGTTGTTAGGGGTGGGGTGTGTAAGGTGGCTGGGGGTGTGTCTGGGAGGTGGCTGGGGTGTGTGATTTGGGAGGGTGGCTGGG